AAGTTGGCGTATAGCCTCCCATTCCAAGCAGGATACGGGAAGATTATGGTTTGCGACCAGCTTTACTGATACTTCAACAATCAGTCGCTTGTCAATGGCGCATGGCCGTTTCGTGACAATCCTCGGCTTTTTAGCCGACGGTTCTCCTTCCTTTTGCAACCCTTCGCTGTTGGCCTTTTCCGTGTGGCGTGTTCGGAAATGTCGAACAAAATTGTTTATATCCAACTTTCGCTGTATATAGGTGCACCCACTACCGCTATCGATGTTACAGATGGCTTTATCGCCATCACGCGTAATGAACTTAGCGGCCTTTTCTGCTAGCGTAACACCACAGACAAACAGACATAACACTCGCAAGTTGTTCATCGAACAAGCATTTAACGGTCAATTTAAAAGTATAGTAGTTGGTAGTACCGCCACCTGTGGCGCGCATAGTCAATTCCCTTGCGTTTGTCGTTTACACACTACCGCCATCTGTTCAGCGTACTACCGACCACAGTGTACTCAACAGATGGCGGTAATGTTTTAGCGACGATGTTTTACAGGAGAAATATTCAATGTGTTATGTCTGTTTGTCTGTGGTAACACCATCACTACGTTTTTTCTCGCATTTTTGTGGAGTCGAGGATGGTCCTGGACAATCCATTTTTCCGGTTCACCGATACAAAGTAATAAATAGGAAAGAAGCCCGGAAAAAAATAACCATACAATTACCATTAAATAAAATACAAATACATCCAAATCTATTGCCAACAATCAATCTTATTGTGCGTATATTGTACAACAATTTTTAACATACTGTTATTATATTAGATATACAATACGTCCCATATAGTATGAATTTTCAACAATAGAAAAACAATAAAATAAATGGTAAATGGCTCAAGTTTGTTCGGGAAAAAGTGATTTTTTGTATGGTTAAGATACATAACAACCCCCTTGTTCTATTGTAGATTTCTCCATTTACCATAGATTATATTGTGAAAACAATAAATTCTATGGTTATTTTATAGTTGTGGACGATACAATTTATTTTAAGTACATTAAATTCTATTGTATGGTTACAATACATTTCATTGTACCTATATCGTTCTTTTTTTTACGGGAGGAACGACGCGACGCGTGACAAGTCGATTCAGCACCGAATTGAAGTGAAACCAAAACAAATCGAAGGAGGCAGATTTCGAGTCGTTCATTACGTCAATTGAAACAAGTTTTTGCTTCAAATGAAATGAACTCATGAACTTGAAGAACGAAAATAACTGATAGACTAGTCTTGTTTGACAGAAAACACGTTCATCGTGACTCGATAACAAGATGCAGAATGAAATAGACGAAAACGATGCTGCTCGAAACGAAACGATTGCGTGAAAAGTTCATTTTCCTTTCTATGTTTCGAAAATGCTGGACCCTGAGCTTGACTTTGTTTACCATTGTCACTTTCGACGTAATCAAAATTTACTCTTGACTTATACCCCAAATGCGCCATGTGAATTGTAGTGTGGAAAGCATAACCATCAGGCGTGAACTTCTGAAATTCAATAACGGAGGAGCATAGATAGAGCCTAAATGTATGCTTCTTTGACATGAACTCAGTTTGTGCATTTTGCCCCGCAGTATGCCGAAAACAAGTTTTTGTTAGACTTTTTTTTTAATTTTTAGCAATTGGGTTCTTTAATTTTGAAAAATGTATCGGGTTTTATACATCATCTTAAAGAGCTTCGTTTTCTGAGTACAGCGATATTTTTTTCGAACCCACACACTCTCATCTTGATGTTTAAATCAAGATTTAAAGCAAAATAATAACTTCACTGTTTGACACTAAACTAACAAACTGACAGCTCGCTCCCATACAAAGTGACACCGAGGGGCGCTAATAAGGTGATTTTTTGCAAATGTATCGTACTTATTTAAAATAGTTCCAGTGTACCAAAATTGATGAAATTTTGGGTTTGGGTTCCATTTTTAATGCAGATTACGAATATACATTTACCTCAATACCCTTAAAGAACCCAATTGGGTTCTTTAAGGATATTGAGGTAAATGCATATTCTTAATCTGCATTAAAAATGGAACCCGAACCCAAAATTTCATCAATTTTGGTACTCTGGAACTATTTTAAATAAGAACGATTACATTTGCAAAAATCGCCTTATTAGCGCCCCTTGGTGTCACTTTGTATGGGAGCGAGCTGTCAGTTTGTCAGTTTAGTGTCAAACAGTGAAGTTATTATTTTGCGGGAAATATTTAGCTAAGCCATGAACCCGCATGTTCGTTCGTGTCCCATCTATTCTGAACAAATAATTTTTATCTAGATCCAAAAATCCTGTGGTTTTGACAATTCGGATCACTGCACATTTCAATCGGCCGTTTACGATTTTCGGGCATAAGTCAGAATTAAGTGTCATGTCTGTTTGTCGGTGCTAGCAGTACTTATGGCGGTAAGCTCCAACTCGGATTAACTTTTAATACCGTCCCTGTTTGGATGATCTGCGAAGTGTTTGCATAGCATCGTGTTGAATAACTCTGATGTCGACATCAAAGCAGCCGGACATTCTTGATCGGGATTTAATCCAAGGATAATACCGATAGGAGCTTACCGCCATTAGCGTCTAAAGTAAGTTGAGCAACGTCAGCGCCATCAGGATGTCAAAGAAGCTATAAAAGTAAGACGGAACTATATTTGTTATCCGCATCGCATGAAAGAAGCAAGAGATTGTCGATAACCGGTAACCACAAAAGAATACCGTTTTGTGAGTAGTAGAAAACACTTTTATAAACATAACCTCATTGAGTCTTTTGAAATAAATTTCAGCCTTAAAGTTTCTTCTTCGGCACAACTAAAGGACAACATGAGTAGATCTTTTGGTGTAAAATTATGTCACTGAAAATAGCAGCAATTCTGTTAAAAATTAAAGCATTTAAAATTTTGAAATATTTTTTTTTTTTGCTATTAATTTAAAGTATACGTGTACAGTTTTATCTGTGTAGAGGAAAGTGGGGGCGATTCTGCCAATGGGATAATGTGGCCACCCGCTTAAAAATCAACATATTGAACATAATTTACAAAACATCTGTTGCATGCTTAAGGCTTGAAGCCTACTTGAACCACCGACAAGCTGACATCAAACTTTAACTCTTGGTCAGGAATCCATAACGGCCGATTCAAATGTGCAGCGATCCCATCTGCTAAAACAATTGAATTCTTTAAAAAAAAATAGTTTGTCCGGAATAGATTAGACACGAAAGAACTCATAAATTATGTACCACTGTTCGTGACTAGGATAAAGATTTTCCGCGAGCACGGTGGCAGATGTCAGTTTTGTGCTTTGATCAGAAATGTCATGGTAATTTGTATGGTCATTAGACTGATGCAAAATATGACTTTTTCGCTCCACAATGCTTAAATGGTTTCAAATCGGGTTTCGATCAGCCTTCCAAAGTTACAACTCGTTTGGTTAGAAACAGACTTCGCACAAGCCATTTGAAGTTTGCATGTAAATTACTATGAGAAATTTCAAATTTTTGTTCATTGCATTCTAGTCTTTTTCCATATTGAGCTGCGAAACAGTTCGATAGCCATTCTTATAGAAAATTTTTTCAGCTACCACTTTGCTGAAGATCGTTTCTATGTAAAACGAGACAGGAAAAAGTTATTAATTATTTAAGAGATTGGTAAACTTATGACATGATCAAGCAGCTGCTCTGTAGGCAACACTGTATTTTGCAGTGTGACATAGTAGCCATGATTTTTGTGTCCTATTCAACGCCCCAGAAACACCAATGTTGCCTGCTGAGCAGTTGATTGAGCATGATCATAAGACATCAGCGCATTGAACCATTGATAACTTTAGATCCTTGCATTTAATCAATTTTTTATCTAGTTTTCAATAAACATTAAAGTTTTTCTTAACAAAATATTACTTAAGTCCTTTCGGGGCAATATGAGCACCACTGATATTTCAAACATTGTCTACTTTAATTATTCTTTAATTTTGCATTACTCCTTTTATAAATATGACTGTACCATATGAATTCACGTTTTGAAGCAGCTGCTAAAACTGTTAATTGTTGACCCTTCATAAAGCCTCAAGAGAACAGAATATTCTTACCGGTTGTTAACATGGGCGCTCATACCACCCCGATAGGGTGCTCATTTTAGCCCAACGATTTTTATTTGGGTTACAGAACGAAAAAAATTTAAATCTTCTTTCATAAGGTCCAAAAGTTTACTTTCAATATTCAATTTGTATTCATGATGTAAGAAAGGCTTGCAACTATCCATTTGGTTAAATATCATTCGAAATTTCAACTGAATTCGGTATCATTAGTGGTGATTTTCTTAAAAGGACCAAACTGCCCAACTTTGTCGGCCTAAATGCCCCTAATTTGAGCCCATACGTAAATTCAGCAATCGACTAAATTTTCAATAGCGACCAAAAATATCCATTAGTACCGTCCCAATGACGCGTTCATCTAGATAAAATTTATAAATAGCAGATTTTTAGCGATGGGTCCAATCTTAGATCCATAGGCCAACATTAGAGCCATTTCCCCTATGTAATTTTCTAATTATTATTTTTTCAGTCTAGATTCTAGTAGTGGTAAAATCAAATTAATCAATTTCCTGATTCACTTTTTACGAAACTGACCAAGTTCGCCTCAGAGAGGTCTTATACGATCATGATATATTTTCAAAAGGATCTTCGTAAAGTCTCCAAATTCCACAGTCCATTCACAATTACGGTAGGCAAAATTTGATTTAATCATTAAATAAAATCCTTAAATAAATGCACAAGACAAAAATTCTGACACGCAACAGATTAAACTGTTTTCAATGTAGGTCCCATTGCTATTTTTTTCTTCTGTAAAATGAAACCGCAAAGCTGCACGTTCAGCTATAAACATAATTCTTACAGTGAACAAACAAACGGCAGAAACGAGCACACATATTTCGCAACCTTGCTTAACTGAAAACAAACACAAAGTTCGACACTTACCTGGTGGGCCAGGTGGGCCGATATCACCCCGAGTGCCGAATAGAAGGGCCACGTCTGCTCGCACACCATCCCCGATGCAACCAGCCCGCCGATCATGGCCGTCGAAAATCCGCTCAGCCAAAGCTTGGTATTGTCGCCGAAGCGGATCGCAGTCGATTTGATGCCCAGCAGCGCGTCGTCCACCTTGTCCTGGTGGGCGTAGATCGTATCGTACACGATGGTCCAGCACACGCCGGACAGGTACAGCGGAAGGCAAGCGGACCACATCACGGAACCCTGGGTGGCACTCCAGCCCAGCAGGGCGCCCCAGTTGAATGTCATGCCCAGGACCAGCTGCGGCCAGTGGGTTACCCGTTTCATCAGTGGATAGATGATGACTAGACCCAACGAACTGGCCCCCAGCATTATCGAGTACCAGTTGAGCTCCAGCAGAATCAGCAGTCCAACGCCTAGCTGAGCACCCAGGAAGAACCAAGCATCCGCCGTACTCAGTTCGCCGGCTACCAGCGGTCTACTCTTGGTCCTAGCCACCTTTCCATCAATGTCTCGGTCCCACATGTCGTTTATCGTGCAGCCGGCACCTCTCATGATAAACGCTCCCGTTCCGAACAATGCCAACATCCACGGATCGGGCAAGCACCCGGCTGGTGCACTTAACGCTATACTCCATCCGCAAGGCCAAAACAGCAACCAAGACCCGATCGGTCGGTCCACTCTCATCAGCCTCGCGTACGGACTCTGTACTATGCTCTGTAGCAAACCCTTTGGCTCCGGTTTCTTATCACTAACTTTGCTACTTAATTCCCTTAATGCTAACTCATAATTTCCACCAGTAATTCTATGCAAACTATATCCCGACCACCGTGGATCCGTCAGAGTTCTGCTTCCAGTGCTAGTGAGGTTAGCTCGGGTCTCCTCCTTCCTTCGCAGATTCGCACCGGCACAAACAGCAGGAGCTCGATTGTACAGAATCCCCCGCCGGATTTGAAACCCGTAGCACGGTGGGGACAGCTGCGGAATCTTGTGTGTCGTCCATCTCGAACAGCAGGTCAGTGTACGACGTAACATGATCGACATTGAATCTCGACCGTTTTGATTAGTCACTTCATATCAGCTCCCGAAGTGCCTCCACGTGAAGACAACCGCGAGCGACGGAACTACGGGCTTCCCGAAACTACCGCGGAGAAAACCACTTACGCAAACACTACAACCAAAAATCCGCGAACCGGAGGACAGACGGGCACCTAGCCGAGTGAGCCGATTCGGCGATTACTTAACTCACATGGGGGGCTCATCGAAAAAGGCGAAAACGTTCTGACAGATGCGGAGATTTTTGGTTTTGTTGTGAGAGAGGGTGCATCGCCAGTTCTCTCCGATTTTTGGCTTTGCTCTCGCATCAGGAGCAGAGGTGCAAAGCAAAATGCATCGGAGGGGTGTTCGGTTGATGTGGTCGAAAATAAAGAAACAAAATTTGTTACGGTTATCGAAGTTTGTTCCGTGCGTTTACTATAGTACATCGCACAAAGAAAAATCGTTGCTAAAATTAAAAAAAACCATTGGTAGAATTAAAAGTTCGCGTTGGTTCTTTTTGATAGAAAGCGTTTTGGTTTTAAAATAAAAGTCAGTCAACTGTCAAGTCAAAAGTTTCGCAGCCACAACTTTTAAAAGTTAAAACTTTCCAAATGAATTGTACTACACTGTCAAACGAAAAGCATGGCAGTGTTGAAATTAAAAGCGAATTCAAATCAAACAGTTGGAATGAAAGTATTGTACAGTTGACATAATAGGTGTCATTTTGAATTGAAGAATTGAGTATTTTCAATTTAAAAACAAGTATTTTTACTTTCAATTTCATTGAATATTAAATTAAAAATTTGTATTATTAGATATAAAGGGTCAAAACTATATTTATTATATATTTTGAACAATAATAGAACAACCGTTTACGTTTGACCAATGACTCCTCCACCGGTGGATATCGTATGTGATGCGGTTCTAGCTGGGAGAAACATTTATCGTCTATCTTCACGCTAGGATAGTAAAATTTGATTTCCTTCAATCACATCTTTTGACCGGTGACCAGATAATCTTGGAAAACCCGAGGGAAAAACAAGTACAAGTCTATACCGTAGCCCCGCACCAGGTCATTTCAGCGTTCAGTACCTCGTTGGAGATGGAAAGGCTGTTGATGTGGCTACGGTAGTGTCGATACCAGCGAAAATTCTGATGATTTCCTGCTACTTGGGTTACAACGATGAATTAAACGATTAGGTACCGGTTCAATCCCGGTTTCATTTTTGGAATGATCTTCGCCGTGTTGGTATTGATCCCAACGGTGTCGTTGCACCGAGACAAACACTATAGGTGACGGGAGCGATGATCACCTGAAAAGTAATCGATTATTTAGTTATTCTACACTATTATCAATCTTACCTTTTATGTAGTCACACACGGAAGCAATCTTGCAACTTTCATTCTTTGTCAAATTAGTTTTTTTTTCATATTGACTCAAGGAGAGGTACTGGAATCGAATCCCGTTGAGGTTCCTGTCAAGGATCTGGCTGAGGGCGAGGGCTTCCGTTGCATTGGATTTGATCTTCTTTTTTCCGCTCGCTTTGAAAACTCAAAAATTTGGGCCTGTAGATAACACTATATGCCCTGTTGGCTTTTTTACGATGGTTTTGGATTTGCTGCCAAGAGGTATTTTTGACAGTAAAACAATTTGGTTTTGAAAATATGCGCTTTTAAAATTATGAGTCGATAATGAAAGAAACACTTTCAAAACAAATTAAATTGCTTTCATTTGGAATATTTTCGTGGTTAAAACTACGAAATAAGGGAAACTTTCAATTTGAAAACGAATAATTTTTAAATACACAATTTTCGTTTTTTGTGTGTATACATGGTCTACACGCTCCCGTGGCTCATTCTACTAGATTCTACTGTTTGAGTAAAAATGTCTCATTTTAAAGTTCAGTTCTGTCAGAGTTGGTCTTTATAAAACGCTGGCCAGACTGAGCAGTTATAACATGTTATAACGGTTGTCAAATAATTGCAACACAGAAACCACCATCAAGATAGCGCTATAACATGTTATAACTCTGTAGTCTGAACGTACTATAAGAGTCCCGAACTGTTAAGCAAGGGTACCAAACAGACAAAGGAAACTAATATTACTGCTCCCAACACAAACAATAATCGTCGTTAAAGTTAAAAAAAAATCGCTGGTAAAATTAAAAGTTTGCATTAGATTTTTTTGGTTAGAAAGCTTTTAGCTTTCAAAACGAAAGTTAAAAGACTGTCAAATCAAATGTTGCAAGTTCACTTTCAAAATAAATTGTAGAACTGTCAACATTAGTAGTAGAGTATGACATAGTCAAAATTAAAAGTGGATTATTTTTGTTTCAAATCAAACTTTTGACAGGAAAGTTTGATATAGTTTAAATGACATATGCCGTTTTTAATTTAAAAATATGAATATTTTTAGTTTATATTCTACCATTTTCAACATTACAATATATTATTATACTTATAATCTATTAAATATTCAATCGATTGTCAAAATATTTTATCAATTGATATAGCATTCCACAAATAATGGATAAATAAATTCGTGATGGCAGGTGCTCAATGGAGCATATCACAGATAGCGAGGGGGACAAAAGTAATCTACATTTTATTTAACGGATTTAACTAAAATTTGCTAAATAATTCAGAATTTTTGGATAAACTTGATTCATAATGAATAATAATAGGCGCCTGCCGATGTCATCCGATTTCATCCACTATTTTTCGATAATCTTGGATGAGTTAGAATTAGCTATCTGTTTCTGGATCTGTTTACTCTAATAATGTTTACTGTCACTTTCATGATCGCGCGGTTTTCGCATTCGTTCAATCTCGAAAAAATCGCAAATCGAGTGGCAAATTCTTTTTGCCACTACACTCTTCCCCAGAGTAGCAACAAAAACAACCCTTGCCTGCCAATCTGAGTACTGCGAACTAACTCAAAAAAGTGGTGTTGAGTACTTGGCACTGATGAAGTCTGCAAGTAGTAGACAAAATACGCGTATCTGTCAAAAGATAAGCAATTATAACGGAATTTAAAGGAAATAAACCAACCCACTCAAAGCTCTTCATCAAAATGCTTGTCATCTGGGAGCCGAGTCAAACTGTCAAACGGGAGCTAAACATTCAAAAGAGCTCAGACATCACGTAGGTAGTTACTGTTTGAGCCACAAGTAAAGGTGTTGCCACCTACTGAAAGTAACTTAAGAATTATTATTAGGCGGATAATGTAAATCATCGAGTGTGATGCTCGAAAAAGGGTTTTTTTTTATTTGATATTAATAATGCCAAAACTGGGTTGCTGAAACAAGAACTTTATAAGAGTCATGAGAGCTTTGTGGGCAGGTGCACTCCCATCACCATGTATACGTTATTTCTGGAGCATAGGAGAAGGAGCCAAGAGTTCATTTGACAGCATGTATATACAATTTCATGAGCTGTTTCAGCAAAACAATTTGAAATTTCGGAAGATTTTCATGATGTTTTCTAGCTCACCTGAAAAATAAAATCGGCTGCATGAGTTCGCAGTACTCAGCTGCCAATGTTCCGTTCAGCAAAGCAGTTCCGTTTAGTTCATGCAATCTTGGACCCCAAACAGTAGCAATCGGATTCTGGAAACATGATCGGAAAAGGATCCAGCAGATGCGCTTCTCAGCTCGCTTCTCAGCTCGCTTCTCAGCTCGCTTCTCAGTTCTCTAAATTGAATTCCAACGTTTAAACGAACTCATCGAGGACAAGTCCCCCGGGGTCAAGTTAGCCAATCTGCACTCCAAAGGGTATCCGGCTTAAATACTCATCCCCTCCGTCCTCTGTCTCTGGTCCATTACCGCCGTCCCATTCTCTGACCCATAGATTCCGATCGCGCTAATCTATCGACAACGCCTCGAAAATCCCCTAACCACTCCCCGGTTTGCAACCCATCAGCAGCAGAAGAATAAGCTTAATTCCGGCACTCCGCATATACCACTCCCAACCAACAACCTCCCTCGCAAGATTGAGACAACCCACACCGAGTACTCCAGAAATCCAGCCGTCAACCAAAACTCTTTTGGCCTTACCGAGAGTCTTACGGACACCGCAGCCTCCCACCTGGAGGATGCTCAATTATTTCATGATTCTCAGCCATGCAAGTATCCAAGCAAACCTGGTGCTGCTCGGTCAGACGTTGGTTGCACCTATTTGGACAGAACCCATTATCCAGGTCGCGATTCGTGAACTCGAAGCACCCACATTCCTCATCGAACTCTGACGAAATCCACCTCAACATCTCAACACTAAGCGGTCATAAGGACCAATGTTGTAAACGTAAACGATGGCTCCTTTCTTGAATTTCCCTAATTCAAAGTCTATCCATGCAAGTTACTTATTCTATTTTTTTACATAGAATTTGAAATGTTTATGTCCAGAAGACATTTGCAGATCGGACGATAATCATATTATCTCCTGAAATATCCAATCATGTTAATTATGACTCACCGTCAGCTTAGCTCAATACAAGGAAATTAAGTCAAATTTGACGGCAAACAGACGTCCAGTGCTGCCAAAAGCATTGTTGTGACATGTTATTTAAGACAGTACAATTTTGCTTTTAAAAATATGTACTTTTAAAATAACAAGTCAAGGCTGCTAAAATTATTAAAATGGACCTTCCGGACAAAAGTTCCCAGTCAGCTGCTCTCTAGATAAATAACAGATCGAGCTCAAACGATAGGAAATGTCGTTGGGTTTTAACTCAGGCTTGCGATTGTGATTATGGAGCAGGGTATCATGCATCCGGAAGGTATGAGATTTTAACCGAGGATTACACAGAAAAAAAGTTGTTGAATATTACATCCAAACTGCTACAACCAGGTCAATCCATCGGTTGTGTAATATAACCATACAGGTAACTCTAAGACTAGAAGGTCCCGAAATAACGTGCTCAACTTTTTGGCTCAGCTCTGGAACTCTCTTCGATCCCAAGCTAATCGATTCACCCCTCGAAACATAGGAAAAACCACTAACCCCTCATTTTATCTTTCAAACTTTCATAGCGAATCAAAACAAACATTGCGTAGTACTAGAATTTCGACTAGAATGGGATACGTTAATCGTTTGCTTGGGACCAATAGGCTAGTCAAGTAATGAGCCAATTTAAAATCGTTAGTTTCGTATTGATTGTTGATATAACGTTGTACGATGTACATCGATTTTGCGAACAAAATTACATCCATTGATGTAATATTTTATCTGCTTTTTGCTATTACATCATTATTTCATACATCAGCTTGAATTACATTGATCGATATTACATTTTTTTGCTGTGTAGAGCGATTAAACAAATTCAGCAACATTATTTTGCTAATCTTTCGTCGAGTCCAAAATTACCAACATTTTGCTGAATTTCAGCGATTTAAGTTTGATGTGTGGATTTGCTCGGCTAATAAATTTTGCTCCAACCATTTCGACCTTACCATCCAAACCCTCTTGTGGAAAACTGCAAAAACAAACTTTTGACAGTTGTTTTCTCCCTCTCTTTGCTCCACTTATTCGTAACCCACGTTTTGCTGTCTGTCACACAGTCCTTTTCAAAACAACCGTGAAAACGTGTTCGCGATACGTTCCGTGATCGCACACGAAAAGTTTTGATTTCTTCTTAAAAAATGGCCCTAAAAACACTGAAATGTAAGTATTTACCCCGAAATATCTCCCACGAAATGCACGTTATGGAATTCATATGGAATTTATCGATTTTCAGGTCGCACCTCCAAACGGCAGAAGTCCTCGCTGCGGTACAAGAAGATCAAGAAGATAGCCGCTAGCAAAAGGAAGAAGGAGAAGGATGCGAAGAAGTTGCCGAGCCTGAAATCCAAGAAACAGAAGCTGATCCAGGTACCGAATGTGTGCCCCTTCAAGAAGGAGATCCTGGACGAAGTGGCCGAGCACAAGCAGTTTGAGGAACGCGAAAAAGAGCGCAAGAAGGAACTGCTGAAGCAGCATCGTCTGGCGGCACTGGAAGGACAGACCATTGAGTCAATTGCCGCTGATGCCGATCGGCGAGGCCAGCAGTATGATCCATCCAAGGCGGAAGCGGTCCAGGAAGAATACGTGAATGTGGGACGGGGAAAGGATTGGTCGTTGAAGGCGTACTTCAAGGAGTTCAAGAAGGTAATTGACGCTGCGGATGTGATTTTGGAAGTGGTAGATGCACGAGATCCGTTGGGTACCAGATGCTCAGAGGTGGCCCAGATTGTACGTGAAGCACCCGGTCAGAAGCGTCTGGTGGTGATTCTGAACAAGGCAGATTTGGTTCCTAGGGAGAATCTGGAAAAATGGCTCAACTTCCTCCGCAAGACCGGACCGGTTATTCCGTTCAAGGCTACCACGCAGACCCAAAAGCACCGCATTGGAAACAGAAAATTCAAGGCGACGACAACGTTGGAATGTTCCCCTTGTATAGGAGCGGATTTGCTGAAGGAACTGCTGGCTAACTACTGCCGAAACGATGATATTCGAACTTCCATCCGGGTGGGAATTGTTGGCCTTCCAAACGTAGGCAAAAGTTCCCTGGTTAACTCGTTGAAACGCAAGCGAGCTTGCCTGGTAGGAGCCCGGCCCGGCATCACCAAACAGATGCAGGAAGTTCAAATCGATTCACACGTCAAGCTTCTGGACAGTCCCGGAATCATTTTTCAGCGCCCAAAGGATGCCGACCAGAATCGATTTTTCGCGCTGAGAAACGCTCAGAAAGTGACGGAAATTCAAGATCCCTTCCCACTGGCGGACGACATTCTCAAGCGTGGCACGATGGGTTACTTCTGTAAGTTGTACGATATTTCGGAGTTCCACTCGACGGATGAATTCCTCGCGAAGAAAGCCATCAAGATGGGATCGCTGGCCAAGAAGGGAGTTCCGGACGTGAGGAAGGCAGCCCGAACGCTGATCGAAGATTGGAACTGCGGAAAGATCAAGTACTGCACGCATCCACCGGAGGAAAGTGACGAAGTGCACCTAAGCGCCCAGCTGGTGTCGTCGGAGACGGCGGAATTCAACCTGGAAAACTTCGATGACGTCCTGAAAGCACTGGACACCGAATATGAGGATAGCTTTAAAATGAAGGACAAGGACGGCGACGAGGTGGCAGTCATTTCCAAGGATGAAATCCTAACCATGGAGCTGGACTCGCAGTACCCGGTGAACATGGAACTTTCCAAGGATGATAAGAAGAACAACGCACTGGAAAAGCTCATCAACAGTGGAAAAATTATCGAGGAGGACGGCGAAAGCCAAGGCGGCAAGGGCAAGAAGCGCAAGGTGAACGATTATGCCGAGGAGGAGAAGAAGTTTCGAAAGGATCCCGTGTTCCAGCTGGAAGGCAATCAGACGGTGAACAAGAACCGGAAGGCAGCGCTGAAGGCGAAGAAGAAGGCATCCGCGCGGGATGGAAAGAAGATGACCGATGTGGCCGATGAGCTGGAGTCGATTTCGCTGGGCGGAGCTCAGAAGAAGAAGAAAGGCAATCCGGCTGGGGATGATTACGATTTCGATGAAATGATGTGAAATCTGTAGTAGTTTTGGGGAATCTAGTTCTAGGAATATATCGAAACTTTTTTTTTTGAAAAATTAACAAACAAAGGTGATTTTAGTTGCGATGACATCCGAAGGTATATAGTTACAGGTATGGAACAAGCGGTAAGACAGTTGTATTGGGAGTTGGTTTCTGGTCGTATCTAATCGCCTAGGATAACTTATAGGGATCGCTTCTGGGATCGAAATCGTCCTTCGGCAGGTAGGAACAGGATTGCGGGGAGATGGTCCAATCGCCGGTTACACGGGCAAGCTATGTCCGTAGGAAACTCCTGCCAATCATTTGTGGCTTTATATAAAATGGGAATATTTAGATGCACATAAAGGTAATTCTAGTGATAAACCTCCTGGAATTCTGTGGAGTATTTACATAAAACTATGAGAAGAACTTGAAGAAAAATTCAAGATTTACTTCGCGGGTAGTTCTGAGAACCTTCTGAAACCAAATGAATTCTAATGTGAATTACGAAGTAAATCTGAGAATATTCCAAATAATTCCGAAGAGGAGCATTACAATGGAATTGTAAATCTACGGAAGTTTAAAGCATGATTGTGCTGGAATTTTAGTAAAGTAAAAATCAATATAGGGAAATAGGGGTTAATTTTGAGGAGAATTCCAAAAGAAATCTAAAGAGGACTCCAAGGGAGTTCGGACTACAATCACCGTCAAACCGACATGAATGGCCATAGCAAAAACAATAAAATTTATGTCCACAGCACACTACTGACATCTGGCTCCATGTTCGCGGGAAATATTTAGCTAAGCCATGAACCCGCATGCAAAAGTTATGAATTGGTCAGTGTCTGATCTATTATGGACAAATTATTTTTATCTAGATAAAAAATCCTATGGTTTTGACAGTTCGGATCACTGCACATTTAAATCGACCGTTTACGATTTTCGGACATAAGTCAGAATTAAGTGTCATGTCGGTTTGTCGGGGGTTTCAGTCTCAGTCACGGTTCCACGAATCTGCTGCTCCCTCTGTTGGTCCGCTAGTGCCGCTATCCCTTCTGCGGATGGTCCTTTGCTGGTCGTCCACTTTCTCCACAAGTCCGTCATAAGAATGCCGTCAACGACTAAAGTAGTAAAATTTACGTTTATTTGCTGGTTTTTAAAGTTTCAACATTTGATTTTACATTTCAATTGGTTAGCCTTTGGCTCTTCAACTTTGTTCTAGTTAATTGGTTATTCTAATGTGATGATTGCATTTAGCGCTAATTTACAGGATTCCCTTTTAAGGGCTTGTTTCCGTTTGAATTTAAAAATTTGATAACCTACCTACTTGAGCACAGGAGCCTACCTAACTACTTGAACTAGGTTGTCAAATCACGAATGATCTAGTGGTGTGATCGCAGACAGGCGACTCTGAACCTTTCCAGCGTGGACATCTTTCGCTCCTCGAGTGTTTGAAGACCGGCCAGGTGGTGAATCTCAGAATTACGAGCTCGCGGTGGCACTTAGCACAACTCTTCCAGATTGGCATACCATGCTCAATAGCCGGCAGAATGATCTGCTAGTGGACAGCAAGTTTGTTTTTGTGCCGTAAACAAGCTTAGGTACCTCATATTTATACCACAAACGAAGTGACAGACGGAGCGGCTAGAAATTTGATTTGACGCACTTACATTTAAAATTTTCGAGTGTACCTCATGGCAACACCACGCAACACTATCTACTCATATGTACTAGCTTAAAGTACACGGAGATGAAAAACTACCCAAAATTAAGTACATTTCCCTCAATTCCGGGGTTCAGCGCAATAACCCAAATTTGAGTAAATCGCATATAGTAGTTTCCATTTAACACCAGCAAAAAAACTACCTACTCTCAAGTATATTCTACCCAAAATTAAGTTTAATTCACGTAAATTTGAGAATATGCAATTTACTCAAAAGTAACTTATTGGGCCGAACTATATCGTTGGGTCGAATCTCTCGTTCCTTTTTTGACAACAATAATGAGTGCAAGTGAGAGGCTGAAGTCAATATTAAGTAAAAAGAACTCAAATTTTGGGTAGTATTTTTTCTCCGTGTAGGGGGTACCACCTGTTATCTCTTTTTCTCTAACGAAAATTGAAAGGGAGAGCCTGTTGTCAAACAGCATGTCATTATGTCGTCTGCACTTCTTTTGTATAATGAAAGACCCTAGGCTAAAATAATTAGGGGTGAACACATAGGGTTAACATTTGCTTACAAGTAAACGATGTTGAGCAGTCAATGAGTCGGGCTTGTTGCAATTGTTGCTACAGAATTCTTCAGTCCGTGCTTCTAACTAAAGTCAGAGTCATCCGCGATCGAATCGAGAAGACATCGTTGTTGGACGCCAACAAACAGAGCCCGGCCATTGGCAAATCAAAGTTGGCACTTGTGGAGAATAGAAGAACTATGAAAGTGATGATGGTTTCAAAATTTTACACGGTGAGGTATACGAGTACAATCTTAAAATGCTTCTATTTTGCAAATGGAGCATTTTATTTAAATCTGGTTAATGCTACGTTAGTAGAAAACTTAAGGACTACTCAATAGACATATAATATAGAAAAAAAAAATTCTTTTCAGATTTTTAAGTATATACATAGATTTCAGCTTTTCTACCACTATAGCAGAAACCAGATTTAAATAAAATGCTCCATTTGAAAAATAAAAGCATTTTAAGATTGCATTCGTATACCTTCCCGTGGAAAATTTTGAAACCATCATCACTTTCATAGTTCTTCTATTCTCCACGAGTGCCAACTTTGATTTGCCAATACTTGGTGTCGGTATGCATTTGCTACTCTGTAGCGGAACTGGAAGGATCCACCCAAGCTGCCTGTTGCGATATCAGTTTTGTCTGCTCCAGCTTCTTCTTTTCTTCTGCAGAACCAGACAGTACGAGTACTGGTTGTGTTTTTATCATGCAAAACCAACCGGTGGAATACTAATCCGAGAGACGATTTCTTAGGTACGTTGCGTTTGTCGCAGTAAATCGTCACTTGCCGGTGCACTTTCATGGTTACAATCGCCGTGGCAGTAGTTTCGTCGTACAGATCGACCACTGGATCGATATCAACCCGATAGGTAAGGCCGGCATGCTTCGCGTAGTGGCGCTCCCTCATGTCGCGGGGAATCCTTTCCAACCAGGCGGCGCAGTGAAACTTCTGTATACGAATCGATCGGGACATAGGATTTGCTGTCACGTTTTTATCTCTTGCTGCCTCGACTGCTCAGCCTATTCTTATTCATCTTTTTTTTTCTATTACTTCGATATCGATCGACTTCCAATTACTGCTGTGTGTGGCGTTTTCGTTTGGCAACTCGAACCGGTTCCGGAGAGGTAAAACATTTTCCGGCACGAGTGCGGGTATGGAGCTAACGTTTGTATCGGAGTGGATGTCCCTGTCGAATTGGTTAATTGGACGAGATCATCTTCATCGACAAGTACCAGTTATCAAACTATCCAGTCATCATGCAGATGAAGTTTTCAACTGAATAATCTTTTCCACCTATGCAGCAAAAGCTCGGTTAACAAGCTGAGGTTCAACTCGTGCCGTATGACTCCAAATTTCTAATTTGAAGAGTTTTCCTAGACTCGGATCTTAATTATTTTGTAAGCATGAAATCTTAACAGCTGTTCGAAGTCTTAGAATTTTGAAAGCTATTTGCTCAATCCTGAATGTTGAATTTCTTGAAAGGAGCCTGAACAAATGTTTAATCTCTGTATTACCTATGTAGATAACTTCTAAATTTCTAGAAAATAACTCTTCATTAGATATATTTGGATATTTTTTTGATTGAATTTGGGTTTTATCAAGCGATATTGCTTGTGATCTTACTTGGGGTATTTTATCATATTTATCTATTTCAATGAATCCGGGAAAACTAGGTTAACAACCGGAAATAACCGAAAAAACAGGAATTTAAGTTCTTGAATAGAAAGGCCAGAGTGTATTTGTTTCAAGCCGTACTAGAACCTTTTTTCAAAAGTTGTTTTCCAAGTCCATCAAATTGTATTTTTTACAAGTCCGGAATCAACAAATTTCCAAGCTCAGATTTTAGAGAAATTCTATGTCATAATCATGAATTCTTTTCTATATTTTAGAAACATTTAAATTTTTCTAGGACTGTGAAATTACAATCTTACATATTGTAAATTATTCTGGGTTTTCTTAATTTGTTTGTAATAGAGATCGCGAATTACTAAGTCCCAGCATTAAACAAAAATGTCCAATATCTCTAAAATGTTTACCAGAATCATGCTTGGCATACGCAGTTTTGGCTCATTTGCTAACAACTTTGCACACAGTTGACGAAACATAGTTCTTTTTAAAGCAGGCGATAGAATTGAGTTTAAGCTTCTTATAGATACGTAAAAAAAGTAGATTTTATTTCTAGTAATACCACAAACGAAGTGACAGACGGAGCGGCTCGAAAACTTTGGACTAACCTGCTATTGCAATTTTTCAGTGTACCACATGGCAACACCACTACTACTGGATTGTACCACATGGCAACACTACTACCACAAACGAAGTGACAGACGACTAACTGGCGAAGAAATCAATTAAAATAATGTGGTTCGCTGTAATAGAATTTTCTTAGAAGCTTGTGCCATCATCCACCAGATGGGATAGTATTTTTGTTTTGGTTTTGCACAAAGTTGATTTTGTGTACAATGATTCTTTGACAGTGTGCAAAGAGTGTATATCATTTTGTCATTTTTTTATGCATTCCAGTTTTGAGTAGAGTGAAAGAGATAGAACCAAAACATTCTAGTACATTTGGGGAAAATGCTAGTTTAATCCAGTAGTAGTGTTGCCATGTGGTACAATCAACAATCAATACGAAACTAACGATTTTAAATTGGCTCACTACTTGACTAGCCTATTGGTCCCAAGCAAACGATTAACGAACCCCATTCTAGTCGAAATTCTAGTACTATGCAATGTTTGTTTTGATTCGCTATGAAAGTTTGACAGATAAAATGAGGGGTTAGGGCCTGTTCATAAACTACGTAGACAGTTTTTTGGGATTCTTGACCCCCCCCCTCCCCC